ATTTTATTTTGGTTTACCATATAGGAAATCTGTTAACCTCTCTATTCATTATTGATATGAAATATTACCATTCTTTCTCTTTAAGTTCAAGATGTTTCTTGATTGTTAATCGTAAGATGTAAATCAAACATAACATCTAATGTACCGGATTCAGTGGTGTCATCATTTCTACTTTCATTTGCTCTGTTAATCAAATAGTTTGATTATGTGAAACAGCAGGATATATATGCTTATTTCTTGATTTTCTTTCACTTACACCCTGCAGATGCTGAAGGACCTTCATTAAACCAACAGAAAGATATGGACGTCACAGATGGTAATTTTCATTTAATTTTTGGTCACCAGCTCATGCAAAGGGGATGTGGTCGTACTTATCCTAGCAATATTATCTTAGCACATACAATCTAAATTCTGGGTCTGCAGCTGAACACTTTCAATGCTATGAGCCCTGATCTTTTTTCTTTGCCTTTCTAAACATTATGGCCAATTACATTATCCTAGATTTAGGGTGTGTAGGCCTCTCATTGTTCCTACAAATATTTACTTCAGACGCAGTCATAATACTTTACTGATACTTGTATTTGTAACAAAGAGGGGATGGCAATAACATAAACAAAGCGATGTTCCCTCCCTTCATTATAGAGTTATGTCCCCTCGTTTGACTTGTTCACACTATTCCTCTCAAAGTACTGCACCAATATACTTAATAAGCATTTCATTCTAACTGACGATTTGTGAACTATATATAAAGTCAACACCCATATTAATAGAAATATTTTTCCTTTTGTTCAAAAAATAAATTCACTACTCCTTCCACATTAATTCACCAATTTTAGTGATACCTTTTATACAATACAGTATATAAATCGGAGGTCCTCTCCCAATTATAGAGTTATGTCCCTTTGTTTAAAAAACTGTTTGTATTACTCCCGAGGTACAATGAAATGGGACCGGTGTTCCGCCATATATATATTTAGGCATGGCCTAGGCCTTTATTTCAATTTTCATACCAAAATTTATTTCAGTGCTGTTGATCCGATTGCTTCAATTTTAAACCTTGTTGTATATATATATATATATCTACATGTATGTATAATTACTTAATTTATTAAAACCTGTCAAGCAATTCATAAACTATTACATTTTCCTTTACTTTGTTGTTGAGGTAACTTGATCATTATTTTTTTTCAGTAAAATCCCTTCTGAATTGCCAGAAGATTGTGACCCTATCTGCCACCATCAGAAGCTTAATGAGGACAGTTACAGTACTTGCTGACTTAAGTTGGGCATATATGTCTCATAATAAACTTTCATAGTCTTTTATAAATTATTTAATATATGATACGAGATTGTGCTTATATATATTTGCCCGATTATTTTTGACACATGCACATCATCACATGTTCATATTAAATTCTTTTTTCTTTACAAAAGTCCCAGAGACAACAAATGATTGAACTTCAATACTTCATCTAGATTTGCAATTTAAACATTATGTCCAAAAACCTCTTTTGATTTATGAGCAGATGAAGAGGTATAACTGTAAGGGATTGTCCCATTTATATTATTTTATGATGTGATTGTATATATATTATTCTATGAAGAAAATTTGAATACATTAAAATTATCGAAAGTTTGTATCCCATTTAGTAACTGTTAACAAATTTTTAAATATTTTAATTTACATGAAAAAGATTTCATCAGTAATAATTGTCTTCATGTTACTTCATTTCTTTTTAGATTATCACTTTGTCAGTGTTAATATCTGTCTATATTGTATAGGTTCTAATTTATTTAACTTTATATTTGTACTGTTTCAACTAGAAATCAGTAATTGTATCGCAACAAAATATTGTTTGCAAAAATCTTGACTAGTTATTTTCTGAAAAAGTTAGCAGGGATTGTAGGAACAACAATGCAAAGACCTTTTATCTAAATAAAACGCCAACATTTATTCCCAGTAAGGATAAGATATTTTTTAGGCATACCTTAAATGTACCTCTTATCAAGGCACATTTCAGGTATACTTCTGACTGAGGTATGATTTAGGCACATTTTAGGGATACGTACCTCAGTCAGAGGTACGATATAGGCGCATTTTAGGTATACCTCTGCCTGAGATATGATTTAAGCACATTTAAGGTATACGAACCTCAGTAAGAGGTACAATTTAGGCACATTTTAGGTATCCCTCTGACTGAGGTACAATTTAAGCACATTTTAGGGATACCTCTGCCTGAGATATGATTGAGGCACATTTTAGGTATACGTACCTCAGTCAGAGGGATGATTTAGGCACATTTTAGGTATACCTCTGACTGAGGTACGATTTAGGCACATTTAAGGTATAAATCTGACTGAGGTATGATTTAGGCACATTTTAGGTATATATATTCGCATAATAAAAATTGGGAAAATCAGTATCTTAGTCCCAGAAAAAGATCTGTCTACTCATGTGTGTATTGTGGCTGACAATGATTGCGTAAACATAATCAGGGCCGCCACAGATCAGCGTCCGCAATACGACTGCGAGCCAAATATGCTTTTGTCTAAATTGTAAATTCAATTATCAAGCTTCAGATGGCAACAGGTGTTATAATTTGTGTACCTTAATGGACAGTGGGGTCAAGTTAATCGAATGACCCATTGACGTTGAGAAAACAGTCTGATAAGCGAGTTACACATAAGTGGTCTCGCACACATACATTTGGCGGCGCAGTAAGCCGATCTGATCACTGCATCCAACACATTTCCTTTTCCAGTACCGAAGCAAACATAAATACGTCCGATATGCTTGATTATAAAGTATAAGTATCGCCTTGAAACACCAAGTCAAAATGCTGATTTTCGGCCTTTCAGATCACTTCAAACGTGATGTCGTATCTGTGTACTTTCGTGGTTAGATTTTAAGAATTTCAAGTGATCGAGAAAAATTAGTTAGCATCGAAGTTATGCATATTTCAGAACAGCAAACCGTTCAGAATGTCTTCGACAGTCGCTTATTTTAGGTGCCAATCGATGACATGGGAATGGCCAAGTTGCGCGACGTGATGTGCTCCCGTTTTATTTTGAAAGGTTGGTCAATACCGTTATAAATTCATCCTATTTCCTTTCAAATGTGTTCCACTGTCATTTAAATTTGAAATGTGTGATCTTTTAAAATAAATATATATTTGCTTAACATAAAACATGAATTTCGTGAATGTAAACCCAGGAAAAATAATTATCAATATTGCAATGCATCAATGAGGCTACTTTTAATTTGGATTTTTATTAGTTTTATTTTTAGATTGAAGACACAGAATTAGTCTATCTAAGCCCTCAATTAAAGGCGAATAATAATCTAAAATTTAAACATTTCAACCTATATATTTTTCACAATTCATGTGTCAAGAAAATGAGATAAAGTCTTATTTTTCTCTTTTGAAAAGAATTCAAAAAGTACAAGTGGAAATTTTCAGCATTTTAATTTAAATCTTTTTTTCTTATAACTACAGACATATAATTTAATTTTGCTAGTAACAAGTATTTTCATTGGTTTAAAAATTTATGTTATCGGCCCATAATGTAAACAAGAGGCCCAGAGGGCCTGTATCGCTCACCTGAATATAATTAAAGTAATTGGTATGAAGTAAAGATATAGCACTCCATGGTAGGTGCTGTAAGTACATATGAAATTTCAGAAAGATCCATCCAACCAGATATAGAGAACAAACTTCAAACAGAGCCCCACCCCTATGCCCCTACGGAGGTCATACCCATAAATTATACAAAATTGAGTTACCGTCACCCAAGGATGCTCCACGCTAAATAAGGATAAAATCCCTTAATCCCGATGGTCGGAGAAGGATTTTAAAGGTTTTACCTCTATTTCTCCTATTGGGCCCCGCCCTTCTGCCCCCCTTGGAGACCACACCTACTGCTAATACAAAATTGAGTCCCATTGGCCCAAGGATGCTCCAGACTAAATAAGGATAAAATCCCTTAATCCCTATGGTAAAAAAAGGATTTTTAAGGTTTTACCTCTATTTTCCCTATTGGGCCCCGCCTCTCTGCCTACAGGAGGGTCAGACACACTGTTTATACAAAATTGGTTCCCTTTCACCCAAGAATACTTCAGACCAAATATGAACAAAATCCTGTCATTCCTACCGAAGAAGGATTTTAAAGAATTTGCTATATTTCCCCTTTTGGGCTCCACCCCTCAGCCCCCAGGGGGGTCAGACCCACCATTTATACAAATTTTGTTCCCCTTCCCCCAAGGATGCTTCTGACCAAATATGGACCAATTCCTTTCATTCCTACAGAAGAAGAAGGATTTTAAAGAATAATTTGCTATGTTTCCCTTATTGGGCTCCGCCCCTCAGGCCCCAGGGGAACCAGACCCATGGTTTATACAAAATTGGTTCCCAACTACCAAGGATGCTCAACACCAAATATGGACCAAATCCTTTCATTCCTACAGAAGAAGAAGGATTTTAAAGAATAATTTGCTATGTTTCCCCTATTGGGCCCTGCCCCTCAGGCCCCTGGGGGGCCAGATCAACGGTTTATATAAAATTGGTTCCCTTTCACCCAAGGATGCTTCAGACCAAATATGGAACAAATCCTTCCATTCCTACAGAAGAAGAAGGATTTTAAATAATTTGCTACATTTACCCTATTGGACCCCGCCCTCAGTCCCCAGGGGGGTAAGACCCACTATTTATACAAACTTTGTTCCCCTTCCCCCAAGGATGCTTCTGACCAAATATGGAACAAATCCTTTCATTTCTGCAGAAGTAGAAGGATTTTAAAGAAGAGTTTGCAATATTACCCCTATTTGGCCCCGCCCCTCAGGCCCCTGGGAGACCAGACCCACCATTTATACAAAATTGGTTCTTCTTCACCCAAGGATGCTCCACACCAAATTTTGTCAAAATCCGCTCAGTGGTTCATGACTAGTAGTGTAAAGTTGACGGACGATGGACGACGGACGCTGCGGAATGGCATAAGCTCACCTGGTCCGAAGATGATGCAGCCGTTTGTCATGTCGCTTTTGATTGGCTGATACAGCAGCGCAATAATATCTGATAGAAAAAAGTCCAATAAAAGTGGATTTCCACAGAGATTGTGTATAGTAGAATAAATTATAAGGATTAACTTGAATATATTTAGCTGTTTATTTAGAGTATACTCCGTTTTTTTGTGTTATAGCTCCATAACATGAAAAATATATTCAAGTTAATCCTTAAATAATCTGAAATTAATGTTAAATAAGTATCACATTATGGATTAAATTATAAACATGATGCATAACAAAATTTTAATTTAATTTAACATAATGTTGAATAGTATTGCACTTCAAAAACTTATTAAATGATTTTAATGTAGGGCCAATCTGTAATGGTTGAAGGCCGAGAAAGTATGGCCACTGTTTAAAAAAAAATGGCTACTGAAATTCACACATGGCTACTTTTTTGGCTACTGATTTTTTAGGTCCAGGGTGAGCCCTGTTTGCGTTGACAGACACCTCGAATACGGGGAGATCTGCATGCTCACACTGTCACCTGGCATAGACAGAACAGGTAATTGGAATACAAGAGGCCCAATGGGCCTGCATCGCTCACCTGGTATTAATCTCACACTTGTAATCTTAAAAGTGGACTAAAATACAGCTACAGGCAGAATATCAGTGTGACCTTGAATGACAAACAATAACATTAGTTTGAAAAGAGGGTCAATGTCATTCATTTGAACAAATTTGGTAGCCCTGATTGCTACAGGCCAAATATCAGTACCCTGAGCCTTTTGGTTATCGAGAAAAAGTTGTTTGAAGATTTTCAGACATTCGACACCTGTGACCTTGAAAGTTGGCCAAATATCATCACCCTGGGCATGTTAGTTATTCAGAAGAAGTTGTTTAAAAGGTTTTAAACAAATTTGACCCCTGTGACCTTGAATATGAATCAAGGTCATTTATTTAAACAAACTTGGTAGCCCTGCATCCCAGCATGTTACTGGCCAAATTTAAGCACCCTAGGCCTATTGGTTATTCAGAAGAAGTTGTTTAAATGTTTTAAACATATTTGACCCCTGTGACCTAGAATATAAGTCAAGGTCATGTATATGAACAAACTTGGTAGCCCTTTATTCCAGCATGTAACAGGCCAAATATCATCACCCTAGGCCTCTTGGTTATTCAGAAGAAGTTGTTGAAAGGTTTAAACATATTTGACCCATGTGACCTTGAATATAAATCAAGGTCATTTATTTGAACAAAATTGGTAGCCCTACATCCCAGCATGTTACTGGCCAAATATCAACACCCTATGCCTCTTGGTTATTCAGAGAAGTTGTTTACAGAATTTAACATATTTGACCCCTGTGACCTTGAAAATAGTTGAAGGTCAATTATTTGAACAAACTTGGTAGCCCTTCATCCAAGCATGCTTCTGGCCAAATATCATCACCCTAGGCCTTTTGGTTACTGAAAAGAAGTTGTTTAAAGTAAAATGTTGACGACGGACAACGGACGACGGAAGAACGACGGACGGACGATGGACGCCGCACCATGCCATAAGCTCACTTGGCCCTTCGGGCCAGGTGAGCTCATAACGATGTTGTTTTCACAACAATAAGTTTCAGAAAAGATTCAATCTTATATACGGATCAATATTTTACTTTTTTTTGTTATGAAATACACTCTTCCAAGTAGTTTTTTGGTCGTTTGCAAATCCGACAGAAACGTTCATCGATATCGGCAGAATGTGTACGCTAAAAGGCAGTCACTCAGACAGGTCTGACGAGGATCGCCAACAGCCGAATTTGTGAGACATTGAGAACACCAAACAATTGTGATTTCAGCAATTGTCCTTCAAAAAGAAAAGATCGGAATGTATTTGGCTGTTTTGAACCGGTTAATATTTATTTTTCAAACTCAAACTTTTTATCATTATCGGCTCAATTCGCATGGATGTCACCTTGTAAATTCCTGCCGTTTAATAGTATCACGTGACCTGGACTCTTTGGGGTACACAAACTTGCTAACTTCGCCACTTTACCCATGTCGTTTTGACACATTCCTACTGTCAAGATTGAAGAGTTCAGCATGATTTTACCCAAGGACGACATTTTAACCACAAGGTGATAAATGCGATGCAATTCTCCATTATGTTTCCCAGATACGTGGTATTTATCAATTCACAACATAACGTCCTGAAAAGTTGGGCCTACTTTACTCAAGTTTATTTATCCGATTCAATCATAAGATATCACTTAAACTTGCAACTCTTAATAATTGTTAAATTAGCAATGCAATCAGGGATTATTCAACAAAATTTAGCAGTTTTATTGCTGCGAGCTTATTTCAAAACATTCCGAAAATCCCCGAAAAATTTACGAGAAATGGTCGCGACCAAGGACTGGTTTCAAGGACTGGTTTTGGATTGTTTTTGAGTATCCTGTACACCCCTTTCTTGACACTTAATTTTTCCTTAAAAAAGTGTGCACTATACACAAATATTAACGGTAGTCGTTGGTCAGACATAAAATATATAAATCGGTAAATAGCAATTTATGATACGACAGTTTACCCCTTCGGGAACAACAAAGGTACCTGATTCATACTTGGAACATCTTTAGGTTATATGTAATTCCTGAGGGAAATTTGGAATGCCTTTAGGATTTATGCTATTCCTGTTTAAAAACGAAATTGATATCTGAGTTATCCAAGAGCCTGTATTTAGCGCCTGGTATATTCCGACAGAAGCATACGGCTCAACAGCCAAAGACAACAGAGGTCAAAATCTGGGACTGAAACCAAAATTAATAGTCCCCACTGAGGTCCCCCCAGGGGTGACTAACAAGAGGCCCAAGAGGGCCTGTATCGCTCACCTTAATATTTAAGCAGTCATAGCAAAATATTCTCATTAAATATTATATTGCCCTAAAAATATTTCCCTCACAAACTTTGTTGGCTCCATCTGTTGAAACTACCAGCAAAATATTATTACAAGATTCTATGCTTTTTGATTCTTCAGAAGTTGCTTGACATATTTTTCCCTGTGACCTTGTAAGTAGGTCAATGTCATTTTCCTTCTCAAATTGGTAAGCTCTTTTCCAAAAGCTACCAGCCAAATCTTATGAATCCATTCCTTTTAGTTCTTCAGAACAAATCCATTAAAATGTTGTTGACCTCTGTGACCTTGAAAGTAGGTCAAGGTCACTTTCATTCTCAAACTTTGTTGGGCTCTTTCCTAGGAAGTTACAAGCCAAATATAAAGATTCCATACCTTTCAGTTGTTCAGAAGAAGTTGTTTGAAGTGTCTGACACATTTGACCCCTGAGACCTTGAAAGTAGGTCAGGGTAATTTTCTTCCTCAAACTTTGCCGGGCTCTATCCCAGGAAGCCATCAATCAAATATAAAGATTCCATACCTCTCAGTTCTTCAGAAGAATTAATTTGAA